TACGGGGAAATAATAATACATTATAATACAAATTTTCCTGCTGCTAATTATTTGTACTTTGTAATACTATAATATAGTATTACAAAGTACAAATAATTATTGTTGTATTATGTAATATTATTATATATTATACTATTTGACTGAAATATACAGTGTGACCCATTTGTTTGCGACTCACCCCTGTAAAATCTTTATTTATTGTGCGATTTTAACCGGATTTGTTTTATAGTGTAGACATGTTTAGGAATATTTAATTTTATTTCAATGTTTTTTCATAGATAACTTGACAGAATAAATAGAAATTATTGTGCATTTTTAATGTAGCTAGAAAATCGTTCATACTTTAAAATGTTTTGAGGGGTGGTGAATCCAGTGCCGTGCATTTTTTTTTAATCGCTGATAAATTCTTAAAAATTTCCTCTTAAATACCGACATAGTAGGCCTTGTATTTTGTAAAAATATGGCGTTTTTGCTACAAAAATACTGCAGTATATAACAAATAAAAAACCCAATAAAAACTTGTTTGAATTCTATATTTTTTGTTTTAAGTTTCTATTGCGTTTTTTATTTGTCAAAACTATATTTATAACTATATTAATATTAGTTTAATTTTATTTCAATGTTTTTTTCATGGATAACTTGACAGAATAAGTTTTTGTAAATGTTCATTTTTAATTTGTCTGCAAAATCGTTTCTACTTAAAAATTTAAAAAAAATTTAGTACAGGGTCGTTTTGAGGGGTTGTAAATCCAGTGCCGTGCATAGATTTTTCTAAATCGTTAATATATGAATTCTTAAAAATTTAATCTCAAAAACTGACATAGTAGGCCTTGTATTTTGTAAAAATATGACGTTTTTGCACCAAAAATACAGTTTATCAAGATCCACACTTTAAAACAAATCCGGTTAAAATCGCACAATTAATAAAGATTGTACAGGGGTGAGTCGAAAACAAATGGGTCTATATTTTAATTTTTTGGTTTTTATTTTAGGTTTTTAGTATTTTTTTAATAAGATTTTTAAATTATTGTTAATATTACTTTCCTATAAATAAAATATTTTTTAGGACTCTTTGAAAGGTTGTAGGTACCTATTTTTACCTGTTCCCTTTTGATAAGTAAGAAAAAAATATCCAAATAGTCAGATCATTATTAGTACAGAAACACATGTCGGTTAATTGGATACCTAACATTTATTACATTATGCTTTATATTTTTACAGACGATAAATCAATCAATCAAAGTAATAAAAAAACTATATAAAACAAAAATATTCAATCAATTATTCAATTATTACTCTAAGAAGTCCCAAAAGCCCACTGAACGGTTTGTGCGGGTTAGGGGTAGGAACGGACTGCGGACTTAAAGTCCCTCCCCCGCTTGTAATTAATATTATAAAACCATTAGAACGTGAAAAATAAAGTAAAAAAAAAGCCTTATACTCGTAACTTAAAAAAAAGTAAGGAAAACAATTTCCTACAACTGCAGCTAGCTGCAGATGCCCTATTTAATTTTTTAAACAACTCGTAAAAAGTTATTTTGTTTATGTAGTCGTTTATGGATTTATTTATTTCACTAATAAAAATAAACTAAAATAATATTTCCCTTTTATTTATTAAAAATATTTAGTATAAAGCACTTTAATTTAAACTAATTTTAAAGTAAACATGTTATTTATACATTCCATTACCTTCATTATTTTTATTATAAACCAATGAAAAATTTATTGAATAAAAAGAAATAATTTTAAAGAATAATCGTAATAATGATTTTATTAAGTTTTCCAGGTACACATGTAATTTTTAGCGTAACATTTCCATCAGTTTAAAAAAATAATTGACTGTTTAACTGACTCATTTTTGCATTAGCACATATGCGAATAAAACAGCAGATCAAATCGCAGACTAAAAATTTCACAGGTCATGCTTCATTAGAATTTATATTGTTCTAATTAACAGGAAAACCGTTAGTTACATAAAACATAAAAATAAGAAATGTCGCTTGTCTCCTAATTTACCAATTATTTAAATTTGTTGCCTAATATATTTACACGCCTCAATAATCTTAGTATATTTGATTATTTAATGGATGTAAAATTTCGTAAATATTTACCGAATTTTCGGTTGATTCGCTTCGTGATTCCTTCTCGTTCTTAAGTATAAAGAAAGTTAATTATCAACCGTTTCCTAGAATGTTTGTTGAATCATCCATTAAAGAACAAAAACTTAAAATCTTGACAACACCTTTAACGATAATTATAATTAATACACAAATGAATCATTCGTGTTTGTTTGTATACGAGTATAACGCAAATTATAAACGAACAAAGGGCAATGATAATTGTACTAGTGATTTTAATTCTTAGACGAAAGAATACAATTATTTTTGATATTAGTTATGTATGTCTTAAATTTGTTAGTATTTGGTAGTCGGGACAAATGTGGCCAGTGCAAGGACCTGATCTTAATCTTGTTGAAAACCTGTGCTATAAAAAATGCATGCAAACAAACAGAAAATGTCACAGAACTTTATAAAGAAATCCTAAATCAATTTAGATCTCTTTATGCAGGACAAGTTTTCATTTATTTAAAAAAATGTTTTAAACAATTTACATTAATTATTAATTATATTTAAATTTAACACATTTTTTATTTATGATGTAAACTTTTCCATGATATATACCAGGTGCAAGATTTAAAGGATAGGATAATTTTTCTAAGAATGTCAACCATACCGAGAGAACTGTTTTGATAATGCTACTAAATTATACAGGGTGTCATTTAACTAGAAACTTTTACGAAAAAATGTTTAAAATAAAAATTAAATGATTCGATGGGGGAAATCAATCAGTACTAAAATTGGTCCTCATACTCTCCTCCTTATTGGGGAAACAGGGGGTAACTTTAAAATTTCCAATGGAACACCTTATTTTTTATTGCGACTAAAAATAGGTTTTTCATATTTGTAATAGATGGAGCTGTAATGAAAAAAATCAATTTTGTTCGATTTTTCTTCTGTATACGATTCTGCAATAATTTGTCTATAACAAAAATCACTTTTGTTGGTAATAATTATCTTATTAAATTAAATCTGATTTTTTAACTACCCACGATTTTTAACTAATATTAAAATTACCTTTGGTTTAAGTTTTAATACTTAATACCTCATTTAAGGTAAAAAAACATTATTTTGTCAATTAATTAATTTAATCCTAATTGAGGTATAAAAACGGTATTTAGTTATAAATAATAATTAATATTGAGGTATAAAGAAACTATTTATAGTTTAGCATTATTTAATCAATTTAGTTCGAAGATTAATTTGCAAACAAAAATACCTCCTTTCCTTAAGCAGTTATTCATAATGGATTTTTTAACAGTGGAAGAAAAAATAGAAATGATTTTGATTTATGGAGAAGCAGGCAGGAATCTTGATGATGCTGTTAATGTCTGCGCTCAGCGTTTTCCGGATAAAATTCGATCACGTACTTCATTTCACCGTACAGTCAAGCAGTTTACTACAAACGGGAGTGTTTAACCGAAAAAAAGAGTTCGTCGAGCAACAGTCACAGGTGGAAATAATGAAATTAATGTATTAGCAGCAACGGCCGCTAATCCTCATGCAATCACACGAGAATTATCTAGAGATTTGGGATTATCCCAGAGCAGTGTTAGTAGAATATTAAAGCGAATTAATAAATGCATTGAAGTCGAAGGCCACCATTAATATCAACTTATAACCAAAGAAGGTAAATTTAAGCCATTATAACTTTTTTTGTGCAAATATGTTTTAAAAATTTGTAATTATAATAAATGCATTCATTTAAATATGTATATTTAAAAACTGCTTCTATAATAAATAGATAATATTGCAAATGTATAGGTATATGGAGTAAATTTGTTTTTGGTATAAGTTTAAAATAAAATAACAACAATATATGAGTGATAAAACATAATAAACTTTTAGTAATAAGTATATTATTATACGAGAAATAATGCGCAAAATCTAGAGTGTACTCCAATAGGTAGATAATTAAAAGATTTCAAAAATAAATAAATAAAATCTGACATCTGTCAAATTTTTAACCTCACATTTCACCCATTTTAAATAGTATTATAGTCGCCTTCTACCAATTTAAAATCCAATTGGTTGATATCATAGTGAACATTGAAATTGGCCAATCACTGATGCCTAACAACGTGAATAATGAGTTCATTTTATAATGTTTATCATTATTCACGAAAAAAACAATATTATGCCATAGGAGTGTATACAGAAATTGAACGCTTCTTTATTATTAAAATTAGTTCACTATTGATTTTTTTAGTCACGCAAAAATCCTAAACAAGGAAACAATTTTAAAAGAGTTTGTAGACAAAATAAGTTTATCTGTTTTATTTAGTCAATCTATTATTAATTATTCGCAAACAAAAAAGATAAAAACATATTATTATGATAAATTTTAGCCTAAATTTGAGATACCGTGACGATCTTAAAATGATTTTGTTTATATTTGTATATTTTATGCTAAACGGTTTTTCCAATTTTTTTTGTTATTTATAACGGCGATTTCTGGAATAATAATTAAAAACTAAAACTTTTATTTATCTGAAAAATATTTTAATCGTAAACTCATTATTTTTATTTTTTGCATGGCAATTTTTAACGTTAAACTTACCAATGATTGCGATGGTAAAACCGTGGATACAGTTTCGAAATAGCACAAAAAACAAACGACGATAAACCACTTTGGGTGCATTTTTGTACGTAGGTAGAACGTATAAACAACTGGTTTGGTTCAAAATTTAGTTGGCTTTTCAATTTTCGATGCCTTGATTATCAGATAACGCGTATCTTTTATCATTTTGTAAGAAATTACAGATAGATAACACATGCTTTATTTCACCATAATCTGAATGTTGTATTAGTGTATAATATACTTTAACGTGTTATTTGTTTGTTATTGGTGATAAGGTCAACATTCGATAGTTTTAAACTTACCAGTGCGTTGTTATTTGAACCGGAGGCGGTAAAGGCGTCTTCAGACAGGCACAAAACGGCAAAACAAACTAGAACAGCCAATTTCATGTTGCCAAAATGAAAAATCGTAAAACAAAATAATTTAAAAACTTCACCACGTCGCGTTTTTGATCGGTAAATTCAAATCGCAGCATTCAGTTGTTTGCGACCGTGGTTTGTTTGTCGCGGCGCGTTGCAGTGGACTAAGCGTACGCGATCGCGGGCGCAACTTTTTATAATTTGCCGCGCGTGGACCCAGACCTGCCGCAAAAATGGTGACGCATCGAGTATCTGGTGGGTCCGAGGAAAAACGAGATTTGGATGTTTGCATCAATGGGTTTTTGGGTGAACGATTTGATTTAAAATTTGCCGCCTGCAGTAAAACAATATTTGTTAATTTTAACCAAATAAACGTTAAAGAAGAATATTACACCGAGAGAAAGGTTGGTTTAATAATAACCAAAATGGCTATTTAGTAATAAAAGTATAGTTAAAGTTATCATTAGTTAATTCTGCACCAACAAATGTACTTACCGAATTGGATCCTTTGGCAAAACATGAAAATGCAACGAGTTAGTTTTTGAATTTTGTTTACAATTGAGGAGCATCCGTGCAAAACCGGCTATATCCACTTTAATAAAATTTTGGGAAAATGGCAAAATCTCTCGGTTTCCTGGCCTTTACAGATAAAAGAAAAAGCAAACTTAAGTTTTGTGGGCTTTGTGGTACTTGATTTATAAGACATACTTTCTTTTTCAAAAACTTTATATTAAGGCCAAAATTTCAAAAAATGTTTTGTATATAGCCGGTTTTGCTCGAAAACCGAATAAAAAACGAATAAAATGTGAGAAAAAACCTTTATTATTCAAAAATATTAACAAAATAAATTTAGTGCAAACACACTGTTCAAAATTTCATGACCATTTTAACACCAAATTAACACCATATTTGGTCTATATCGATACAAACCAAAATGGTGTTAAATAGGGTTCGTTGGTCCGGTGTTAATTTAAATACTAAAATGGTGTAAATTCAAATACTAAAATGGTGTAAATTCAAATACTAAAATGGTGTAAATTTAACTTTCACACAGAATTAAAATAAATTTTACCTGGTGTAAATTGAACTCCTTTTCAGTGTTAAATATTATGTGTTTGTGGTCAAATTAAATCATACTACACAGAAAAAAGGAAAAAAAGGAAACAGGAAGTTCCTTGACGCATTACTAGTACATTACCAGTGGTATTATTCCAGAAAATAGAACCTTCAACTCGCTAGAGATAATGTTTTTAGTTCGTTCCACTAACTTAAAATACTTTAAGTATTGACAGCTGTTTCCACCTATTTAAGGTCTAGTATGGAACAACTTGTAGTGTCACACCAAAGCAAAGGACAACATAAGCTTATATATTCTCCGTGTAAGTCAACAGAGGCGAGATTTAAGAACATCACGTGATCCACAAAAAAATAAATACTTATGGGTCTACTAAATTAATATAGTTAAATGAACTATTTCTTTTTTTCTGTGTAGGTGCACTTCTCAAATATTTTTAGATAAACACCGTTTTGGTGTTCATTTTCAACCATAATTCATGGTGTTATTTTAACACCACTTGGTGTTGGATTTTAACACCATTTTAGGATTACTTTTTACACCACAGATAATTTAAACAGTGCATGAAAAAACAGAACAAATTTTAGTAGTAGTATCGACATATCCAAACCACATATTATTATTTATTGGATATAGCCAGGTTTGGTATAAAACGTGGATTTGGCCGGTTTTGCTCCTAAAGCTACCTTTTAAATGTGATTTTAACATGGATATAGTCGGATTTAAACAGAATTATCTTGGTTGTCGATAGAAATGAACCCAAAGATGCGAAATCAAAAAAAACAAAAACTGAATAAAATGGATTTAGCCGGTTTTGCACGGATGCTCCTCAATTAAGAACACAATAATTCACCATGATCCCTTAGATAAAATACACACACTAACGTAAGTAAACTGCTCGTCATAAAAATCGAAGCACCTAGTTTTTTGGAAAATATTTGAAAGCTCGTTATTGAAAAATTATTGAATGGATTTTGAAAATCTTTGGAAATTCTGAATAGCTAATTCTTTGACTCTTATGTCTAATTTTGGAAATACGATATTTTGCACATAGCATTATACTACAGGGTGTTAAACGAAGAGATGTATTTTTTCCGAAATTTCAAGTTATTCCCATTCATGAGGCAGTTGAGTTTGATAGTCTTAATACCCCTCCCTAATATAAGTAAGGTAATCCCTCGGAACATTTTCGAGATTTTGTGAATATCGCAGCTTACTACGATTATATGTCAATTTATCGAAAATTGTCGTTATTTCCCAGTTTAGTCCAAAAAATTAGCAATAGTGGATTCTTTGACTAACGTCTAATTTTGAGAATACGATATTGTGCACATAGCATTCTACTACAGGGTGTTGAAAAGATTGTCGTTATTCCCCAGTTGTCCAAAAAATGAGCAATAGTGGATTCTTTAAATTACGTCTAATAAATAAATATAAATGCTATGTGGAAAATATCGTATTCCCAAAATTAGACATAAGAGTCAAAGAATCAGCTATTCAGAATTTCCAAAGATTTTCAAAATCGATTCAGTAATTTTCCAATAAAGAGCTTTCAAATATTTTCCAAAAAACTAGGTGCGTCGATTTTTATGACGAGCAGTTTATATAAGCATTTAAGCGTTGAGTTTCTTAATCAATGATATAAGGAATAATCAAAATCGAAATCGAGTACTAAAAAAGTTTTTTAATTTTTTCCTTGCAACGTAAAACACAAATAACGTGCGCGATTTAGCTGTGCAATTGAACAAAATTTGTCGAGTAAGACTTCTGCCTTCCTCTCTTTTGTGAAAAAACTACCTATTTATTTAAAAATGATGTATAATCTGTGCTTTTAATGTATTGTTGACAATTCTTAAATTCACGCAATGCTATCGAAGTCCACCAGATGGCGCCCGCGTTGCGAAAACCCGATACTTCTTTAGCGTATTACACAGATTTTATGTTAATTCAGGTCCACATAACATTATGTTAAGTTTAAAACCAACTTTAATCTGTTAGCAAATTAAATAAGTAGTTTATAATTATAACATTTTGTACATTTAATGCTCAAAATGGTGGCCTTCGACTTCAATGCATTTATTAATTCGCATTTCGTATTAATATTCTGCTAGCACTGCTCTGGGATATTCCCAAATCTCCAGATAATTCTCGTGTGCTTGCATGAGGATTAGCGGCCGTTGCTGCTAATACATTAATTTCATTATTTCCACCTGTGACTGTTGCTCGACGAACTCTTTTTTTCGGTTGAACATTCCCGTTTGAAGTAAACTGCTTCACTGTACGGTGAAATGAAGTACGTGATCGAATTTTATCCGGAAAAAGCTGAGCGTAGATATTAACAGCATCATCAAGATTCCTGCCTGCTTCTCCATAAATCAAAATCATTTCTATTTTTCTTCCACTGTTAAAAAATCCATTAAGAATAACTGCTTAACGAAAGGAGGTCTTTTTGTTTGCAAATTAATCTTCGAACTAAATTAATTAAATAATGCTAAACTATAAATAGTTTCTTTATACCTCAATAATAATTATTATTTATAACTAAATACCATTTTTTATACCTCATGAGGTATAAAAAAATGGTATTTAGTTATAAATAATAATTGCAATTAGGATTAAATTAATTAATTGACAAAATAATGTTTTTTTACCTTAAATGAGGTATTTTTATTAAAAATAGTACTATAATCCTTTAAATAAAGGATTTAGTGCTGGCAGGTAAAAGTGACCATGGTACACAATTGATAATTATCACCGAATGAAATAATGTATAAAACTTAAACCAAAGGAAACTTAAATATTAGTTAAAAAATCGTGGGTACTTAAAAAAATCAGATTTAATTTAACAAGATAATTATTACCAAAAAAAGTGATATTTTTATAGAAAAATTAATGCAGAATCGTATACAGACGAAAAATCGAACAAAATTGATTTTTTTTCATTACAGCGCCATCTATTACAAATATGAAAAAATGTTTTTGACAAAATCCACCTATTTTTAGTCGAAGGATCCGAATTTGCAATAAAAAATAGGGTGTTCCATTGGAAATTTTAAAGTTACCCCCTGATCCCCCTGTATATGACGGTACATCCATCGCAGCTCCGTTACCCAAAAATTACTAATTGTCATAGCGAAAAAGTAGGCACTAAGAATTCTTGTTAACAGAAATTGGTATTCCAGACATTTAGCAGTCAATTTCTATGTAAAATTGTCCGCTGAATCAGATATGGGCAATTTTCCATATAATATGGAATTGACTATATCTCAAAAACTGTTCTACTTTTATAATTTTTGATGGTATTTTCGGATTCAGGGGACAATTTTACGTAGGAATTAAAAATTAACTAAGATAGAAATTGCTGAGGACTACAGTTATTAGTGGCTGCTTCTTCACTATGAAAACTAGTTATTTTTGACTGATTCATTTTTAGATAACATTTTAAATGCAGACTTAAATTTAGAGGGTAATGATTCAACATTTTCGCCTAAAGTTTAAAAAACCCGCAGTATAAATCTCATAAGCCAATTCACTTCCTTTATTTAACCACTGGTTATGCGTCAACCACAATGGTTTATTCCCATGTAATGTTTTCACCACATCAGAAAGCTTTTGGATGAAATAAGTTTTAATATATTCTATCGGACTGTCCATCATGCGGCTTTAAACAAATTATGGAAAAAAATCTATCAATTTTTGTTTAAATTACATATATTAAAGGTAATACAAAAAAAATCCCTTCTAGCCATCAAAGGATTGTTTTAAATGGCGAAAAATAAATGCATAAAATTAAATTTTATTAGAATGTTTAAAAGATAAAACAATATTTTCCGTGGCACTGTTATTATGAAATAAAATGGAAAAGGAATAAAAAATAAAATAAAGATAGTAATTCATAATGTTTTAAATAATATTGATGGGCAATTGTGCTGAACATTAAATGACTCCAATAAAAATGTCGACTTGTTTAAATTTTATCTGTATTGCAAAATGCAAATTTAAATCAGATAAATAAACTTTATTTTTCTCAAAACATAAATGATTCATATGAAATTAGGTATTAGTACTGTATGCCTTATTATTTAAACAATGACTCCATTGAGGTGGGAAATAAACGTAAAATACTAAAATAAATGTGTTAACATTATTTAAT